GTTGCTTAGTGATAACTGTATTATGAGAAGGTACTTTACTCATCTAATCTTGGGAGAAAGATGTGTCATATATAACTATTATAATCAGCATACACTGGCATTAACTTTTATCAGTAGTGTACTTAATTTTACTTTCATCTATTTTCATTTATTATGATTGCCTCCGAATTTTATCCTTTATGCCACTCTGCTTTCTCTCATATGAACCTTTGAAAATTCTTTTCTATTTCTTTAAATCCAACTTTTAAAAAAATGCATTTAGAGCAGCCAAGGTTGAGAACCACTGATTTAGAAGAAGTTTATTAAAGCTGGAAACGGTGAAACAAGGAAGGGCCTAGGATAGAAGAAGCAACAGGCGAGAGTCTAAGAGGGTAAATGAGCTAGGCTGGGCTGCTTTGGCTCACTAAGAAGTCAGAGAAAAGGGGACCTTGGGGACAGCTTCAAGGGGGTTGGCCACTGCCCATTGCTCCCTGGATGCAAGTCCCGTGGGGTCCCTTAGAGTTTAAGAGTTGCATTCCTGTGGAGGAAGAGGAAGAAGGGAAAGACACAGGCATGCTCCCCAGAGGGAGGGCACACCTAAACCCAACTTTTAATTAATATAATTAGCTAATATTTATTGGATATTTACTATGAATCATACTTTTCTAAATACTTTATATGGCCCTAACTGGTTTGGCTCAGTGGATAGAGCATCGGCCTTCGGACTGAAGGGTCCCAGGTTCGATTCCAGTCAAGGGCATGTACCTTGGTTGCAGGCACACATCCCCAGTAGGGGGTGTGCAGGAGGCAGCTGATCGGTGTTTCTCTCTCATCGATGTTTCTAACTCTCTATCCCTCTCCCTTCCTCTCTGTAAAAAGTCAATAAAATATATTTAAAAAATAAATAAATACTTTATATGCTTCACCCCATTTTATCCTTTTAACAACCCAAACTTTATAAATGAGGCTGAGAGAGGGTATTAGCACAAAGTCCTGCAGCTAATAAGGTTATCTTGACTCCAAAATGAATATTCTTAATTATTCCATCCTTTATTATTTCTGATCTCATGCTTCTATAATTTTGTGATAAGTAGTTTACCACTACTGCTTATTTTTAGATTAAATTGATGGGGAAAATGTGAGTTAAGGACCTGCTTTTTAATAAATATGTAAGCTAAGTGTTTTCTTAAAGGGGCACCTTTGTATATAAATCACAGTGAAACCTAAATTATTAAGTCTCTCTTTTAATGGCATTTGTTGTTTAAAAAAATTTTTAAGTCACCTGAAGTCTTAAATAATACTGGTCACTTTTTATTTTGTTACTTAAGAAATAGACTGATGATGATTTAAACAAACGAGTATCAGAACCTTTTTTTGGTGTGTGTGGGGGTTTTTTTTAGACAACTAGGGAAAATTAAAGACTGGTTGGGTAATAGATGAGGTTAGGTGTGATAATGTCTGTTTGAACAGTTTCATAATTAAAGTTTAGGAACTTGTTAATTTTCAAACAAGTGAGGGAAAAGATGGGGAGTTGCTAGGAGAAGCTAGAGAAAAAAGGTTTGCTTTATCCAACCCACAAAAAAAGCATTAGAGCCATCTGTTTTCTTGGCTGTTTGCTGCCAGGATAGAGGAACAGGTTCATATTAAAAACAAAAAATAGCTTTGTTGTTTTATTTTGATTTATTTATAAAACTTAAAGTTTCCTCTGATTTAGCACCATGGAATATGTATCTTGTTTCTGATCGTGTGTCATTGAACTGTATATAATTTTTAACCTCTTCAGCTATTTCAGTTGGTCTTTGGTCCTAACTCTTGTGACTTGAATCCTAGGCTTTTGACCTTTATGAACAAAGATACGCTGCTGTGAAGATCCATCAGCTTAATAAAAGCTGGAGGGATGAGAAAAAGGAAAATTACTATAAGTAAATATAATACTTCATTCTTTTTATCAATTGAAAACATATTTAATGGTAATGGAGAATTAAAATACTCTCTCTTCCTGTAGACATGCCTGCAGAGAGTATAGAATACACAAAGAACTGGATCATCCCAGAATAGTTAAACTCTATGATTATTTCTCCTTGGATACAGATACGTAAGTGAATATAACTAAAGATATGTTTGCTTTCTGCTTTCCCTGTTCTGTGGTGGTGGCATAAATAACTTCATTTCTTCACTATGATTCTGAATTATTGGATAATATTTTATATCTAATTTTTTTAATATTCTCCATTTTAGGTTTTGTACAGTGTTAGAATACTGTGAAGGCAATGACTTGGATTTCTATCTGAAGCAACATAAATTAATGTCGGAGAAAGAAGCTAGGTCTATTGTAATGCAAATTGTAAATGCACTAAGATATCTCAATGAAATCAAACCCCCTATTATACATTATGATCTTAAGCCAGGTAATTAATAACATTGTCTAAATAAATTTTTAAGCTCTAAGGAGTATAATGTCATATTTATTAATTTACCTGAAAACATGCTTTTTGGTTTAGTTTATAAATGTCAATAGAGTAGTAGAATTTAAAGTCTTTTTGTCATGTCACTTTTTGAAATTATATTTATTTCCCAAAAGTTAGCGTAAGTCATAAAGATGTTATTTATCTATGTATCATTAAAAGAACCTTCTATTTTTATTTTGTTCCTAGGAAACATCCTTCTGGTGGATGGAACAGCTTGTGGAGAAATCAAAATCACTGATTTTGGTCTTTCCAAGATCATGGATGACGATAGCTATGGTGTAGATGGAATGGACCTAACTTCCCAAGGGGCAGGCACTTACTGGTAAATATATTACTGAAAACATCAAAATTGTCTAGACTAGTCACAAGGCTTTTTATGAGAGTTTAGTTTTTCTTTCCATGTACCTTTGAGATTACTGTACTGAGGGCACTGATGCGAAGTCTCTGAGTTGAGCGGGAGGCCACGTCCATCAGTCTTCTTGACTCGTCTCAGCAAACTAGAGGGAGAAAGACTTAGCATTAGCAGGTGACTTCAGTACCTACCCAGAAACTCCTAATGTGGAGAATGTATGGGTTTTTTCTATAATGTTAGAGTGACATTTATCATGAAAAAAATACTTACATAAATATAACATCTTGACTGTTACAGGAAATAAGCAAAAAGCCCTCTCTGTAGAGGTTTTGTAGTTAAAGTTTTTATTGGAGATGGATGCTTTGTTGATCGTGGATGGGAGAAGTATTTGGCATATTTGGCCTTTGGACTTGACTCTCACAAACACCTTTTATTGACTTCATTACATATAGATATGAGTCTAGATAGCACCATAGATTCACAGTCTAAATGAATGTCATTCCCTTCACAGTTACCTAGGTGTTAATAAAAATTACTTCAGTGTGAATTGCCAAACTTATTGTCCAGTTCACCAAAGTGAAGAACGTAGATTATAAAATTTCAAAACAAACTTAGTTTTCAGAATAAATTAGTTGAGCAAAAGGAGTGACATTTTAATTGGAAGAAAGATAACTGTATTTAATTTTCTTGAACAGGATGGTGACTACAAACAGTCTTTACAGATAGCTTGGGCACATAGTGACCAGTCCCATAAGACAGCCCAGTTCTGTACGGACTTCACTTTTCATGAACAGGGATTAGTCGTGTTCATGCATTCTTTTAAAGCCATTTTAAAGTTTTAAATTCTGCTTGTGGCATTTTCTAGGAATATGAATAAGATATGTCATGAATTTTTTTCATACTTAAAGAAAATTATTCAAACTAGTAACCCCCTAAATAGTTGTATCCTCAATTAGTAATCTTTAGACTTTTTTTTCTTTTAGCAGCAAGGCTTGCTTTTTCACAATAAAATCTTAGGGTCCTAATAAATAAGACCAATAAAAACAAGGCTTTTTGGTAGAGCCCTATGGAAGATGCTTGAAAACCATGTTCTAAATAATAGATCCTTTTTTTTCTGCAAAGACACCCAGTATATTGTTCCCCTCTCACTCTGGCTTCACTCATGTAGGGCAGGGCAGACAAGGAGATTTACCTCTATCAGGTAGACACGAGACAGGGAGGCTTGTATTTAGGAGGCTGTGCAGGAAAGAGATATAGTCATGATGGTTACATGGGGAAGAAGCAAAGCTCTACCTAGAGGGAAGCAGAAAAGGTGCTCTCCACGTGAATTGGAGGGTTAGGGAAAGTATTCAAGATTGTCATATTCAAAAGCATAGGTGACAGAAAAGCAATGTGGGCAGCTACGTTAATTGGCTTTCCCTAGCCAGTTTGAGGGGTGGAGAAGAAGAGTGAGTGCAGATGTTGGAAGTTTAAGTTGCTGCTGGATTACGATGGGTCTGGTGTTACAAACGAGATATGAGGTGTATATACCTTGGCAGTTAGTAATGCTGAGCTTCTTTAAACAGAAGAGCCACCTGATCAGATGTGTGTTTTAGGAAGAGAACTGCCTACAGTTTGAATGCTGGTGAAGGGGAGCAGTGGGAGAGGATTTATTCTATTATTAGACACTTACCCAAATTACAGAGGTAGAAAAGATAGTTCCTGGAAGAAACGGGCTTATCAAACAAGTTCTAGAGGTAAAAGAAGGTCCTTTGGAGCTTGGGAGTGAAAGCTAATGGTAACATGCCTGGGCAGGAGGAAAGGAAAGAGAAATGAAGAGGGAAGGGAAAGTGCCTAGAATGTTGTAATTTCTAACGATAATATATGTTATTGTACACTTTAGGATGTGTGTGTATATCATACTTTATCTCAAAGTTGTATGTTTTGGCGCTAGGGTCAAGTGATATAAGGATTCAAAAACTTGATTGGTGATTTTCATCCATGAAGGTCCTAATGAAATCATGTGGATAAAATTAGTTTTGAGATTTTACACTTAGATTTTAAATTACAGATTGTTAATAGTATCCTTTCCCTTTTTCTCCCCAAAAAACTATAGGTATTTACCTCCTGAGTGTTTTGTAGTTGGAAAGGAACCACCAAAAATTTCCAACAAGGTTGATGTGTGGTCAGTTGGAGTCATTTTCTTTCAGTGTCTTTATGGCAGAAAGGTAAGTTCAAGTATACCAGATGCAGCTGTGCTATTTAGATAAGTGGAAATTTCCCCTTTTAAATACAAAGTTCATTAACTTAAAGTCAAAAGTCAATTTAAATCCTTCCAAGGAAAGCCAGGCTTCTTCTCTATTTCTTTCAATCCTTACCTGAGGATATTTTTCCATTGAGATTAGAAGGGAGGGAAGAGGAAAAGAGAATGAAACATCAATGGGTTGCCTCCCGCACATGTCCTGGTGTGGGCCGGGGATCGACCTGCAATCAAGGCATGTGTCCTTAACCAGAATCAAACGTGAAATCCTTAGTTCCACAGGCTGACACTCTAACCCAGGGGTCCTCAAACTTTTTAAACAGGGGGCCAGTTCACTGTCCCTCCAAACGTTGGAGGGCCGGACTATAGTTTAAAAAAAAACTATGAACAAATTCCTATGCACACTGCACATATCTTATTTTGAAGTAAAGAAACAAAACGGGAACAAATACAATATTTGTATTTGCATGTGGCCCGCGGGCCATAGTTTGAGGACCCCTGGTCTAACCACTGAGTAAAACCGCTAGGGCTCTTCTCTATTTCTTCTAAAATTTCTGTGGATCGGGATTATTTTAACGTCATAACAATTTTCTTGGCCTGCATTTTGCACACACACCTTTTTTTTTTTTAACTGAAGGAAAAGAACTATATGTTAACAGTGCTAACATTGTTAAGGAATACTGGAGCCAAAACTTCATTATCCTCCATTCTCTCTCCCTCACTGCATGCACACACAGTTTGGCCTTGACATAGTTTCCTCAGGGAAATTTCGCCAAACTTAAGTCTTAATATTTCCTAAACCTCTTTATTTTGAAGTCAGAACTACAAACTATTATAGATATTATCTAATCCCCATCCCATCTAGTCCCTTCATCAGTATGGAAAGAGAGTTTAATGAACTTGTCTGAAAATTGACTGCAAATTAGGAGGACCAAACCCAGAGCTATTTCATTTAAGTTAGTGTACTAGGCTCAAAGTATTTTATTCAGTGGTCTTTCCACAGGCATTTCCACTACTTCATCTTTTCTCTAATCAAATTTCATTTTGTAAATATTAAGAATAAAGTTTTATGCCAAACCGGTTTGGCTCGGTGGATAGAGCGTCAGCCTGCGGACTCAAGGGTCCCAGGTTCGATTCCAGTCAAGGGCATGTACCTTGGTTGCGGGCACATACCCACTCGGGAGCATGCAGGAGGCAGCTGTTTGATGTTTCTAACTCTCTATCCTTCTCCCTTCTTCTCTGTAGAAAATCAATAAAATATATTTTTAAAAAAAAGAATAAAGTTTTAAATATCTTATGTTATTTTATCTTAATTACCTATGTTGCAGTAGCATTATTTTATTTTGCTTATTCACAGTGTTTCAGCTATTTTGAGGATTGATTAATTAGGCTGTCTCGGCAGGTACAAATTATAACTTTGTTGCTATGAAAATGCATCCCAACTTCCATGTAACTGAGGGCAAGACTTTTTTAGAACACAAATCATTTGTATCTTGAGTATTCACTGATAATACCTGTTTAAATTTTTTGTGAGATAAATTTCTCAATGTTTTATTTTTAGCCATTTGGTCACAATCAATCTCAACAAGACATTCTTCAAGAAAATACAATATTAAAAGCCACAGAAGTTCAGTTCCCTGTAAAACCAGTTGTAAGCACTGAAGCCAAGGTAAGAAATTTCATGTCATAAATTGTGTTTAAAACAAAGTAATTGCCACCACAGGAAAATCTGTCCAGGAGGTATAGAGTTGATCCTTGAACAATATGGGAAATTTGCAGGTGACTCACATAGCCTAGAAATATTGAAAAAAATTTTTGAAAAAGGTATGTCATGAATACATAAAATATACGTACATGCTTTCTCAACTTTTCTCTTATTGTAAGAGTATATTAAATATTATATATAACATACTAAATATGTCTTATTTGACTATTTAAGTCATTGATAAGACTTTCAGTCAAAAGTAATGTGAATTTTCAACTGCACTGGGGGTGATGTCCCTAATCCCCATGTTATTCAAAGGCCAACTGATTAAGAAATAATAGAAGTATTATGTTGAGTCCTGGCAGTTGGTTGGAGAGTTGTCCTGTGCACTGGAGGGTCCTGGGTTCAATTCCCGGTCAGGGCTCATACAGTAGTTGTGGATTCGATCCCCAGTCAGGGTGCGTACATAGCAAAAGTACTTGTCCAGAATTATACCTAGTAAATATCAGAGCTATTTGATCTCATGTTACTCTGCACTAGTTCTTGAAAAGGCCTGACCTCTTCTTTAGCTTTCTTGGCATGTAGAATTCTCTGAAGCTATAACAATGGCTTCCTAAAGTTCTTTTTAAAAAAATCTTCACCTGGGGACATTTTCGTTGATTTTTTTGGGGGGAGGGGGGTGCGGGACACAAACGTTTATCATCTTTCAGTTGCCAATCGCATGCACCCCAACTGGGACTGGGGATGTGCCTTGAACAGAATCAAACCAACAACCTTTTGGTGTACAGGATGTCACTCCTGCCAACTGAGCCACATTAGCCAGGGCAGTACTAACCAGGTCTGACCCTGCTTAGCTTCCGAGATCAGGTGCATTCGGGTGGTATGGCCGTAGACTAATCCATACATGTCTATGTGATAACATGAAATAGATATTTCTAATAGCAAAACTATGATGGTCCTTAATATCATCCCACCTTCATCCCCTGATTGGCCTTTCCCATTTTCACTCCTGCTTTGTTATGCTTATCCCAAAGTTTATTTCTCTGTGACTCCCTGTTGTAGTCTTCTTTTTAAAACCTGTGAAATTCCAAGACAAATACATGACATTGCCATTTCTTTCTGCTGTAAGAATAA